CGAGGCGCTGGAGCTGCTGGAGCACTGCGGCCTGTGTCGCGAGCGCCTGCGGCCGGAGCGGGAGCCGCGCCTGCTGCCCTGCCTGCACTCGGCCTGCAGTGCCTGCCTCGGGCCCGCCGCGCCCACCGCCTCTAACAGCTCGGGAGACGGCGGCGCGGCGGGGGACAGCGCGGGTGAGTTTAGCGGGGGACGGGCCGCGGCGCCGGAAGCGCGGCCGGAGGGGGAGGTGGGGACGAGGGTGTGAGCTTTGTCTGGGGCGGGGATGGGTTCTGGACGCCGATATAGGGGCTTGCGCGGTGCCTTCGTGGGGATGTGGGATCATCTGAGGGAGACGACGGTGTTCCTGGCCGGGTCTGGGGACCCGCCCTCGAAGTCTACTGTGAGGATGGAACCACCTGGACTGGGGGGTGACCTGATGGGTCTCTCTCCGCGATCTTTCGCAGTGGTGGACTGCCCTGTGTGCAAGCAGCAGTGCTTCTACAAAGACATCGTGGAGAACTACTTTATGCGTGACAGTGGCAGCAAGGCCGCCACCGACACCCAGGATGCTAATCAGGTGTGTGTTGCCCCTGTCACTTACAAGAGGCCTCTGGCTTTGGGCAGTCTCCCGGAGGGGTCACCCAGGCAGGAGAAACCTAGCATCATCAGCAGGTTTTATGGTCCACTTTCCTCTTTGCTCTGGGCAGGCTGCCTTGGCTTGGGAAAGGGGTGCACCTTCTTTCAGGTACTGGTTTGCTAGACTTAAATGTGGAGCCGTTAGGTGGCCCCGCCCCTTCTGAGCCTGCCTTTGCCTAGCAGTGCTGCACCAGCTGTGAGGATAATGCACCCGCCACCAGCTACTGTGTGGAATGCTCCGAACCGCTTTGTGAGACGTGTGTGGAGGCACACCAGCGGGTGAAGTACACCAAGGACCACACTGTGCGATCCACCGGTATGTGGGGCGGGGCGTTCCTGGACTTCAGAGAGAGGGAGGTGCGGAGTCGGCAACCCTCTTATTCTCTCAGTTGCTGGTTATATCTGATGGCTGGTTCCCAGGGCTGTTCTCTAGGGGCTCCTGCCTGAAGGGTCTCAAGAGTAAGATTCCTTGAAAGCAGCAGGGTATGGCTCTAGTATGCAGGTTCAACGGGTCCTGTTGGTAGAGGAAAGGCCTTGGAGGATCACAGTGGACCTCAGCATGCTGTAGGGTATAGATGCAGCGGGTGATCTAGAATACTTGTCAGAGAAGCTCCCAGGCAGAAGATGTGGTGTTTTGGAATAGAGCCTTCCAGGTGGAGGCAACAGCTTGCACAACTTGGGAAAGGTGTCGAGTTTGGTGAGGGATGTGAGGGGTCACTATCCTGGGGTTCCCTGGCACCATGGCTCAGAGCTCTGTGGGGAAGGTGAGTTTTTGGAGCCAGGGCACGTTGAGCTGTGAGTGCTCATGAACTGTCAGTGACGGTGTGTTTCAGAGGTACTATAGCTGTGTTTTACCCAGAGTTCAGTTAGGCATTTACATGTCTTTTTGTGCACATATTGGCTTGTGTATGAAAAGAAATCCGAAAGCCTCGTTTGTGTAGCCAGTTTTTATCCCAGGATTTTCTATGAGATGGCCTTTCAGGAGGTACCTCATGGGTTTTCCTAGCTTTGAGGACAGCATCAGTGGGAAGATCAGGATGGAGGTGGCTGATGGATGGGCAGGGCTCTGCAGTGGGTCCTGGGTTTGGTTGGAGATGTTGGTGTGGGGGGGTGGTCGAGGAACAGCTGACCTGTGCCTTGTGCTCTAGACTCGACAGCTGCAGCCAAGATGTGGTTGGCATTGAGGGAAAGGAAAGAGGGATGTGCATGAGCAGCACTCGGAGTGGGGGATAGGTTTGTTTTGGTCCTTGGGTGGTTTTACTCTGAGCAGTGGGAATCTCTCCTAGAGTGGCTTGATGCTTTCTCTAGAGTTCCAGTCCAACATCTCGTTTCCTCCAGTGCAGGTAGGCAACTCTTAGGGTCTCTTTGGCCCGTGGGTTGTAAGTGGCTTGTGACCTTAAGAGGGCACAGTTTCTGACGAAACTATGCCTGAATGAGCACCGGGGTCTTTAGGCCCCAAGTTTACTTTTAATCCTGCATGTGGGGATGCTTCAGTGACCAGAATCCCATTCTGTGATGGGAAGGATATGTGCTGTGGATGAGAAGTGGGGACCATTGTTAGTAGGCAGGTGGCAGGTGTGCTTGGAGTCTGCCTGCCTAGGTAAGATGTGTTCACAGGAAAAAGCACAGGGAGGTGTTTCCTGCTAGATGTTCTGTTGTTAAGTATCGTTTTATTGATTTCCACTTATAGTGATTGCCTGTAATAGAGTAGAATTGCTCCGTAGGCTTTTTTAAGCTGTAATCTTTACAGGAGCAAATTACCGGGTCTCTCCCCCACCCCCCGCAGAGCTGCCGGGTGGGTTTGAACTGCTGGCCTTTCAGTTGCACCATCAAGCCTACCTATCTATATTCTGTATTGTCATCTGTACAAGTGGAAAGGCTGACAAGGTGTTTTCTGGTCAGCTAGGGGTAGAGGGTGCTGGGAGCAAGGATCAGGCTTGCCGAGCTATGCTTCCTGTCCCCAACACTGCCATGTGCTCAGACTCCAAACCTGCCTGGGGGTGCTCTTTGTGGCCTCTGAGGTGGGGGTGGCCCAGGTCTAGCCTCACTGTGTCCACCCCACAGGGCCGGCCAAGACGCGGGACGGCGAGCGCACTGTGTACTGCAGCGTACACAAGCATGAGCCCCTCGTGCTGTTTTGCGAGAGCTGCGACACCCTTACCTGCCGGGACTGCCAGCTCAATGCCCACAAGGACCACCAGTGAGTTCCAAGCTGGATCAGGGTGGGCGGGATAGACCAGTCTCTGTGTTCAGCACCCTGTCCCTGGTTCCTTTCTTGTCATCCCACAGGTACCAGTTCCTGGAGGACGCGGTGAGGAACCAGCGCAAGCTCCTGGCCTCATTGGTGAAGCGCCTTGGGGATAAGCATGCAACACTGCAGAAGAGCACCAAGGAGGTTCGCAGCTCGTAAGTGGAGACACTGGGGCTGGGGGCTGGGG